GTATTTCAAGGCTATAACTACATAATCCTTTAACATAGCAAATGTCCTCATCGAAAACACAGGTGAAAACAAACTGGCACTAAAGGCAGAAGAAACTCATACATAGGAATGGTGAGGACAGATATGTGATATTATAAATAAAAGGAGTAGGATTACAAAAGGGACCATCAATTTCTCATTTGTCAGTTCTTTTGTGAACATCTACTTATACCATAAGTAATGACAGCATGTTTATGTTCCCGCTTGACAAGAGCTGCTCCTGGAGTCTGGTCTGTGGTGCCAGCTACTGGGAGCAGTGAGGTCTTTAACCTCCAGCCACTGGGGGCCTCCTCATGAAAACCAGCTATTTTGGGACACAAGCATGAGTGAGGAGCGCAGCAGAGCCATGCTGGTGCTCAGGGGATCCACGAATGTGTGTGTGCTCGTGAACCTGGGGAGTGTGGTGTGCAGAAACCTCTGTCAGCCCAAAAGGAGGAGGGAAAACGTGTCTGGTGTGAGTCCTAAATGTGGGGGCTGCTGAGAGCAGCACTTTGTCTGTGACCATCTGTGTGACCAGCCTATCTGTGTCCTCTGTGTATTTTTGTGTCTGTGCCTGTCTGTGGCACACACACTCAACTTCACTACTGGTTGAACCTGCCAATGGGAAAATGGCAGAAGCATCCTTCAGACGGAGCAGAGATCCTGGTTTTCCAAGAGCACCATGCTGGGCTCCAGCAGCTGGACAGGAGGGTCCTGGGTCAGGACAGCTGGATCCAGGAGATGTTCCAACTTTCCTGAGAAGTTTGTAAGCATTAGACTATTTCTTGCATTCTAATATACAAACAGGAATAAGAAAATATACCAAGTTCTTAATAGTAATAACAATAAAATATTAGCAATATATTATGAGCACTATGTACCATTAAATGCAGGAAGTCCCAACCATGAATTCATTTGCATGCTGGATTAAGGAAAGAGTGAAGTACAACAGAAAGTTTGAGGTATTTAACTATGCTACACCCTCAAACTTCTAAGAGAAGACCTCAATAATTTATATGTGTGATTTTATAAATATATACATACATATATATATACATACATACATACATACATATATATATATATATATACACACTTATATAAAACCTTTCCAAAAGCACACCAGGGAAAAATAGAAAGTCATAAACACATTGGAATTATTTCTTTAAAGAAAAATACTCTATCTTGAGTAGGGGTTTTTTTGTGTATTATACAAATACAGGACTATAAGCACTCACATTCTGAAAATTAAACTCATTTACTGTACGCTGTATATTTTGAATGAAAATGCAAGTAAGATGAAGATAAGATGCTTGCTCAAGATAGTTATGTGCATCAAATGGATAGATAATGAATGTCGTCAAATGTTTTATGTATGTGAAAACAAAGTGGTTTGTAGTAATTTCTACCACTTGCAAAATGCCATAGAACAATTTTGATGCATTTAACTTTCTTTCTTTTTTTTGTTTTTACAAATTTTCACTAAACTGAAGAGGAAAGAGGCAGATAGCTTTTCAAGTTACAGATATCTCAGACACATATCTCAAAAAGCAAGAATTACTAAGATGAAAAACATGACCTCTCCATATTTTTGCATTTCTTTACAGTATTTACAATAGGTTTTCCAACATTTCTTTCAGTATTTAAAAAATATGCCTGTATGAGAATGAAAAATATAAAAGTAAAATAAATAAGGTTTAAGTGAAGTCTGCTGCGAGAAATGTCTTTCTGGAAACAAGAAAGACATTTGTCCCTTACTATTCTAACTTTTCCCTTATTGTTCTAACTGCTAGCTAGTGAGTCAGCTAGGTTAGGACACTTCATGAGACATCAATCAGAATTCTGACACCAGTGTAAGACTGCTTGATTATTGATACCAATCTCCTCTTGGTATATTTTCCTTCAAGTAAAATACAAGTATATTTGCCTGCTCATAATTTTCCATAGCACCATCTAACATAGACCATATACATCATGTTCTATCACATGGTTTTTTCTCTGCATTTAGGATTCCAAGATGGCTGCAGGAAGTCAGTGTTTAATCATTCTTTAAAATTGGTAAACGTCCACTTCTTGCAATTACTCATTTCAGTCTATTGTCCTCCTTTATATGTGGACTTAGCTTTCGTATGCTATTAGATGATTAAATCCTGATAATCCAAATTAGAGAAGTCAGTGTGACAATATTAATGGGTAAAGTGAATGGAACATTGTCAGAAGCATATACCCCCAATCTATCAATACATCTCATTTCAGTAATGCAAACATATAGGGAAAGTGTGTTTCTTACATGCACCTCTGAAATTAAATTAATGAATAACCAAAGGTCTGTAGAAACAGAGATTTGAATGAGGTTTTGTACAATTATGAAATTAAAATTACAAAATTATCCAACTTTGATCCTTTCAATTTTATCCATTTAGAACTATGTTGCATTAACTTTTCACATCAGGCAAAATTCCAGTTGCTATTTCCTGGATTTTAATTATCACTTTTTTTTATGGAAAGGAAGATAACTATAGATGAGATTTTAAAACAAACTTAGCATGCTAGGCTGCTTTTTATGTGATGTGCCACATAACCTTTAAATACTTTCATAATATTTGTACTTTCCCACTATTTTATATGTTATTTAATAAATTGCTAATTTGATTAGCTCATCCAGATCTTATGTGTAACTGTTTCATATTTGGTAGCAAACACTAGGAAGCATTAAAAATACATCATTTTGAGTTGCAACCATCCAAGTCAGCATTTCAGTGAAGAGAGTTGTGGGGGGAAAAATAAATTATTAATTATTGAGGAGAGATTATACAGTATCAGCATCATCTCACAGCCCAAATATTCAGGCTTGCTTTATGAACTCAGTGATTCTTCAAAACAAGCAAACAGGTCTCCTGAACTGACATGTGGAAACAAGACTCACTGGACATAAAAGCCAGTCAAGAGTCACAAGAGGGATGAGTTGAACAGATGCAAGCCGAGACTACACAGCTGCAGGACCTGAGTTACTGGGAATACATATTACATCAGCTGTAACAAAGGCTCCTACTGTGCACATGCTGCTCTGCCATAACAGACCCCCTCTCAAAGCAGTTTGTATCTGCTGTAAATGTATAAAAGTCCTGGTTATCTTCAGTCAGAGTTTTCACCAACAGAGGGCTGAACCTCTGTTGCTCTGTGTCCTCTTCTGCTGCTACAGAAAAAAACTGCTTCTGCCTGACCTGAAACTGCAAAATAGGCTGTGTGTCGATGCTGCAATGGTGTTACACTCTGCGCTCTCTTCCTGAATATTTCTACATTTCGACTGAGGAACAGACATTTATAGTAAATGAGAACAAATACTGCTGCATCCAAATTGGGTTTATTTCCTACCCACAATGAATACTTGTGTTCAAAGTAACTTGTTCTAAGTAAGAGGACATTTGTATTTTAGTTATTTTATGATCCAAAGACAATGTTCTGTGCACATCCATGCCTCACATTTGGCTATACAAATGCTTATAAATGCTAAATGGACAAAAATAATCTACAGTTACAAAAAAAATATATGTATACTGATTCATCAACATTTTCTTATTATCATAGAAACATAGAACAATTTGGGTTTGAAGGGACTTTAAAAAATCACAGAATTACAGAGTCACAGAATATGCTGAGTTGGAAGGGACCCATCAGGATCATCAAGTCCAACTCCTGGCCCTGGGCAGGACCATCCACAAGAGTCACACCAGGTGCCAGATAGCATTGTCCAAATTCTTCTTGAACTGTGACAGTCTTGGTGCTGTGACCACTGCCGTGTCACCACAGGAACACTAGGGATCCTGTTCCAGTGCCCAACCACCACCTGTGAAAAACCTTTTTCTGATATATAACAGAAACTGTTAGCATTAATCTTCCTTGACCTGCTTGTCACACTTCTCTTGATGCTGCCCATTTATTTTTCACACATGCACAAATGTCATACATCATTCTCATTGGTGTAACTTTATGGGAAAAGCATGTCATGTAATTTTGCATATGATATGGCCAAACCTATTTAGTGAAACAACTGCAATAACTATACCCTAGACACAGAGTTGTAAAATCCTGAAGATATCATTTTATACTTTTTTTAAGTACAGTTTATTTTATATGAGAACTAGTGTTTCTGAAGGCATAATCTTCAGTCTAAATACGGACATTAAAATTTAAGATACTGTGGAGTTGTCAGTGAATATCACCAAAAAAATAATAAAAGCCTTTTTTGAGTATGTAGGCTTATAACACAGCTAGCTTTAAGTTCAAATATTTTATTTAATTCATTCAAGAAATCAGTGGATTAGACTTCTTAGCAGAAATGAAAGTACATAATTTTAATTCTTAATCCCAACAAATAACAACAAAATACTTAAATAAAATTTCAACTGCCTTCTACTTTTCCTCACAGAAAAATGGGGATAATTTCATCTTCCATTATCTGTTGACAAAGTAGTAATCTAGTTTAAGCTAGTTATCTAGGTTTTTTCTCTAAAGGACTGACAAATTTCTGCATTAGAAGACCATGAATCACCCATAATATTTTAGACAACTATTTAAGGATGGAATACCTGCACATCAATGATACTGCATATCAAACTGCCTTTGTTCATTGGTTAAAAAAGAATGAAAGAAGCATTTGAGTCATTTATAGAGCAAACATAATTTCTAGAAATCTAAAACTAAGGTAAATTAACTTCATTCAATTTTTTTTTGTTAAATTTCTTTCTGAAAATTATAATAATTTTTAACAAAGACTGAATTAAAACCTCAGTTTCTTTTCACTAACATTATTATTCTTTTCCTTAAATATCAGTAGATTTTTATTAGACCTAAAGTCTTGGCAGCATTTCTTGACTGATTAGACATCCCCACATCAATCCTGGAATAGAAAGTTATTTCACCATTTGCTGATAAAGAAAATACAAGGTATAACTTATAAAGCAATAAATATCCTTTAATACCTTTGTTGTTATCCATTCCTCCAACAGCATAAAGTGTCCCAACTGTAGACTTTCTAGGCTTAGTCCTTGGACTTTGCATGAGAGTTCTTCTCTCTGGTAAAAGATGATATTTCATGGCTTCCAGAATAAGCTTCTGACATTCTAGGTCATCCTTAAAAAGCACATGGTTTTCCAGGTCTGCCAATATCTGTGAATGACATGAAGGTGAATCAAAAATGCTAGAAATTCCTAGAAAAGCAATACCATGCAATGAGAGAAGATAAAAAGGATGTTGTAAGTATATCACTTCATTGTAGAATACATGGTTTTGCAGGGCTGGGTTTTTTTTTGCAGCAGGGGCAGAAAAGTAAATAGTTAATTGATTTTTAAAAGACTTTAAAATCACTGTTTCGCCAGCCGTTAAGACTACAATCTTACTAATCTCTTACTGAAGGCATTGAAGACCTCTAACTGCTCTCTTGTAGGCTGACTTATTTCTAATGGTTTCCAAAGTGACACTGAAAGGACCCGGAAAGCATCTCTTTGCAGGAACATCCTTTATTTCTAAAACCAAACCAAAACAACCCCAACAACAACAACAATAACAAAACAAAACATCAACAACAACCCAATGAAAGAACTTGCTTATTCAAGTTTTGAATCTGTTGTTTTGCCGTATTATTAGCAAAATAAAGGACTAATAATGCAGAAAATGTAACTTTTTACAATTGGCTTAAAAATGTAATCAATAGTTACAAAACCAAATGCTTAGTGCATACAGTTGAAAGACTATTATGTTACATTTCCAAAGAAGAAGGTTGCAAGTTGTAAATGTTAAGTGTTGGATTCATCTGCCTGTATGTACAAATCTACCAGTTTTTGAGAAGTAATAAATCACCCCATAAGTTTTCAAGATCCCACTGAACTAAGTAACCTGGGCTAATCTCACAGCTGACCTATCTTTGATCTGTTGGACTACAGACCTCCTGACCTCTACTGCTACCTGAATGATTCTGTGATCTCATTGATGTCAGGTCAGAAGAGTGCAGTGCTTATGAAGATTTTGGGCCATATCTGCCAGATACACTAGGGCATTCAAATTCAGTCAAACTCTCAATATTTATATTTAGGCAGTTGAGTATTACATCTACATGCTGATCCCTACATTCCGCTGACCATCATATTAGAGCAGGTTTTAACTGCATATGACAGTATATCTGTACAGTGTGGTAAATTTTTAGATCTCCTAGAATATATGACTGGGAGACCAAATAATTTTCGGAGAAGCCGCTGAAGGCCAGGAAGCAGGAGAATTTAGTTCCAGAAGTTTGAGGATGTATCTCCACCCAGACACATATATGCAAACATATGCAAACTGTATTGCAGTTGCCTAAAAACAGGAAGTTAGACTGCTTGTAAGAACCTTCAGCTATTTCATCTGGGTTTCAATGGCTGCTGAAGAACGTATGAATGTCCTTTGTCAATCTGTCAGCCTTTAGCAGATTTTTTTTGTGACATCTAAGTATTAATAGCTTGCACATGTAGACAGTTGTGTCCTGCTTCTGATTTTAAGTGTCTATGATGAGATGAGTCTATTCAGGTTCAAAGAAAGGCAATGCAGGCTACAGTATCTCAACTGGTGATCCAGAACTCTTTTTCATGGCTGACGACCTAACAGATTATAAATATGCTTAAATTGCTTAATAGATATGTTTAAATAAATACGTTAAAAGAAGTGAAGAGAGAGGCTCATCTAGCCTAGATAAAAGATGTCTCCAACTGTGACCATATGTCAATGTCTAGGGAGCAAACCATGAAATTATTTTCAAATATACAGTAACTCCCTTTAATATTCACCCAATGTCCGACTTTCAGATCAGGCACATTCTGAGGTGGATGTCTTTTCCATGCAATTTGTAATTCTCAGGGACCTTATCTTCCATTAAGTAGTTCAATCTTCCTTTTAACTCACATAAATTTGTAGCATCCACAATGTACCCAGCCTATTACTCACTGTATATGAAGGTTTACCTCCCTCCTTTTGTTTCAAACCTGGCTCTGGTTGCTTTGTTTGCTTTCACTTGATTTGTTTCATACATTTCTTTCTTTCAGTACCCCCTAATTCTTCTGTTGAAAGAGAAAATGAATTACTGATGTACCAAGTTTCTTAGAATATTCTAGACTTCTGTTGTATTTTCTTTTAGTCAAGTATTTTCTAGACCAAGAAGCCTCAGCTTTCTCAGTCATTACTTAGATGAAAGAAGATTTATATCTTTTATCACCTTTGTTGACTTTTTCTGAACCTTTCAGTTTTGTTGGATTCTTTTTGTGAAGGGATCAGAACCGCACACGTTATTAACCATGAATTATTGTGGTGGTAAAATGATGTGCTCTGTTTTGTTATCTTTTACTTTTTCTTTTCTAACAACTTGCAACTTTTGATTCTGAATTTTTGACCACTGCAGATCTACTGACTACAAAGTCAGAAGCTGACTTTTCCAGAAATTCCTATTTTAGAGACCCAAAATTTTACTCCTGAATGAAAGTGGTCAATCCAGAATCTATGGTTTTAAATTTGAACTTAATGTTTGGCTTTTTTTTCTTGTTTGGTTTTTTTTTCAATTATTGTTTGTTCTCCAGGTAGATTATATTAAATTTATCTACATTAAAACTGTAAAAATGCAAAAGTTATTAGGAATTCTGAAGTGTTTAAATTCTAGGGATTTAAATTCTACTCACATCTTGAGTTTTTGTAGGTCTTGGGGAAGTCAGTGAAATTTCTTGTATCCAAAAGTTTGATTCTATTATTAAATTGCAGAACTAACTCTCATTTAATTTGATGAGAATATGTATTACAGTGGGAGACTGGGTAGTTCATTCTTTTATGTTCTAATACAAATTCCACAAGTTGTAGTTGAAGATATTAAAGGATTTTTTAAAAATGTTTTCCATTTAATTAAAGCTGGCTGTCCAAATTACCAAGACTATGAGGTGTCCTCCATGGGTTACTCATGGGTGAGAAAACTTGTGGATGGTTTGAGTCACACCAATGTTCAATGACATTCCAGGCAAAAAACTGATGAAATACAGTTGACATTATTAAAGCATTAACATCTAATTAACAAGATTTGTAGTTTTAAGCCATCTATTGTGTGTTGAAAACCTCTGGCACATTTCAGATGACAGTATGCATCATGTTTCATTCTGCCCAACTTCCCGAATATCTGGTACCATAAAATATCCACATATCCATATAATAAAAGAGAAAAAAAGTTGGGGTATAAAAAAAAATGGGAGAGGAAAAGAGAAAGTAGAAGACAATGCAAAAAGGTACAAAGAGACCTCACCACAAAGTAATTGAATTAGTTTTAGGGAGGAGGAATAAGAACAAAAGTGTGATAATTTAGCATAGCAATACACAAAGCCCCTTGGTTCATAGAAAACAGTAGAATTTACATTAGGAAGCATTTATTTACACCTAGAGAGCTGGTGCATGCCCCAGGCATGCCAGTGCTTAAGAGGTATTTGAACAATGCCTTTAATAACTTGCTTTAACTTTTGGTCAGCCCTGAAGTGGTCAGTCAGTTGGACGAGAGAATATTTGTAGGTCACCTCCAGCTGAACTATTCTATTTTATTCTGTTCTATTCTACTCTCTCACAGAGGGAACAGGTAATACAAAGGAAACCATGGGTTTGCAAATCATTAGTTTGCACAAGGACTGCATAAATATTAAACTTAAATGTCTTCACTGGAGTAATCCTAATATTCATTTTTTGTCCTTAGATACGAAACTAAATGCTCCAATAAATATATGCTATCTCACAAATGTATAATTAAGAAGGCTAAACCAAACAAATTTTTTTTTTTGGTCACTAAACCTATGGTGTTGTTTTATCAGTTAAGATACAAGAATATTAAAAGAATGAATATATGAAAGTAAAAGACAGTTATGTTCTCTGATAATAATATTTTCAGAAAACATCTTTGAATGTGGTCCATGTTTTCAAATAGATTATGCACCAACTACAAATGATCCCATGATCATGAAAGTAAAAAGAAATTCAAGAAAGAAAGAGACAGATGAGATACAAAGGCATTGAAAATATCAATTTATTTTGAGGAATTCAAATATCTTTCAGGATTTCTGAATAAATTGCTGTCAAAGTACCAAACCTGGATTAATGTATCAATAAATGAAGGCATGAGGCTGAAGTTTTTTCTCCCAATCAATAATGAATGGCTCATATGCTTTCTTTCATTTAGGTAGATTAGATTTTTGAAAACTGTCATATCAACTTTCTATGTCTGGTGAACCAAGCACTTTTCTTACTTACATGGAAAATGAGATATATATATAAATCCCTCCATATATTTGTTCTCCAAAACTGTATTTGCTATTTTTTTCTCATAAAACAACTGTATCTGTCATATTCATTTTTACAAATGTGCATGACTACTGTATTAAGAAACTAAAAAAAAATGTTTGAAATAGCAGCACTGACTGGAAAAACAAGAAAAATATTGAGATTGACTAATATGAATTCAGTCTCAGAGAAGTGTTACAGAAAAGATGTGAAATTTGATCCGCTGCTCCTTTAAATTTGTCACAACTTCCATTCTGGCTTCTTCCTAACATGTATGTATCTTTTAAACTAATTTGTTTCTACTGATCTATATATTCCAAGGCCATATTCTCTTGACGACAGAAATTCACTAAGAGGGAGTCAATATCATATACAAAATTATCATCTGTTGTAGTCTTACTCCTTAGAAACACACCTGCCTGCATCTAGATTTCGGATAATTTTAACAAGAAAAAGCCGCTTTTGGAAAGCAAAGTCACTGAAGAGGCTTTAATACTGTGGTCAGATTAAAACAATATGTACTTCCATCTGTAATATAAATGCTTTGAGGTTGAAGGCTCAGGGCGCTGGGTTGTCAAGAATTTTATTAAAACAGTATGAGGCACAGACAGAACATAAATAGACACATTCCAAAAAAAGAGGCAGAGACATTTGTGTTCCTGGATGGCAATATTTTTAAGAGGGGTCACTACACATGGTTGAGGTTAATAGCTTGATATAAATGTTTGTAAATAAATTGCACATAAAATAAATTATACTTGAAAATATTCTTAAACTTTTATATTAACTTTTTTTTTTTTACAGGAAAGTGGCCATCTCCCAGAGTCTGCTATTCTTAATCA